TCCCCATTGTGAAGTGACCCATGACTGTATTTTATCCAGAAAGCTTCAAGAAGAGAGAACTTACCAAACTTAAAAAATTGCCATGGACATTTAGTCTTGCAGTTCTTATTAACCTACGTGGGGATTCTGTGGTCACATTGCAGTGTGGGAGTTAAGGGTGTGGACGCTGTGGTCAGAGGGGCCTGGGTCAGCATCCTGCTCCACACGCGGTGTGTCTGTGACCCAGGCTGGCTCCTTCACCTCCTCTGTAAAGCGGGGACATAACATAACCCCATGCCGGGCAGTGCTGGGAGAGGTCACCATGAGATAATGCACAGCAGTGCTTTATTAATTCTAACTTCTATTATGAGTTTTACATCAACAAAATTGCTCTCTTGGGAGAAGGTCTCCCTTGCATCTTAAATAAGTCTCCAAGGTACAAGGAAGATACAAAGAGTAGATCACATCATCCTCATGTTTCCCATGGCTGGAAGATCCACTCGCTCACTCATCTAATATTTACGTAGTGTTTACTATGTCCTGGCACTGGGTAGACCACAGTTGTTCAATGATGCATAACTGTCAGACTCAGAGTACTGGGTAAATGTCAAATAATTATGAGGCTGTAAACAGGAGGATGGTGAGAGGATTCCTCTGCTGGAGTAGAGCAGGCAGCCAGACACCCTCTCTCTGGTTAGCTGTGAGGAGCCATGAGACTTCAGTACATTCTATATGAGTAATTTGGATATTATATCTGCAAAATAAACATCTGCTGCCTATTTATGTCTTGTGAGAGATTAATCAATGTTCGTAAAGGAATATCTTATGTGGCTTTGCCATAAAAAATGGTACAAGAATGTTATTTTTATGAGACTCTGGCAACTTTAAAAACCCTTCTGAATGCCTTTCTTACTCAAAATCTATGTAAACTGCCAGAGAGGTCTACAGGCTGACAAGAGAGGTCATTATTATTCCATTTTGGAGCTGGTAAGCATGAATAATTTAAGGGTCATATCTGTAAAGGAACAAATGTCAAAAACAATTTGACAACTATTCTTAGAGCTAAGTATGGTTCATTTTCAAAAGGTCAATTTGGTGGTTTTCTCGAATAAGTTCTGAAATCTTAACTTCCTATTTTTACATTTCATATGAGTTTCAGGAAAACACACTTTCAGTAAGTGTTAAGGGCACCCATGGCCATGGTGATTGATATTCAACAAGTATATCAGAGCCCAGGAGGAACTGTGAAGAGCGGGCTGTTCTCTGTGCAGGCAGACAGCAGGGATCAGAGCGCAGTGCAGTTCCTGGCCCTGGCCAGCTCCACTGGAAATGGGCTGTTTACTTGAAGGTGGCTTTTATACACTTGAGACATTCTGTGCCAAGCAGAAACCGTGACTGTGACACAAACTCCTACTGAATAAAGTAAGGACAGGAGCTTCTGAGGAGTCAGATATAAGTCATGCACTTACTTTTGTATGGCCTGGGGCAAGGTTTCTAGAATCATGTATTCATCAGGCCACCTTTCTTTGCTGTGAAAGTGCAGTTATACCTCAAGCTGCACAGATGTGTCTTGGCCTCTCCATCTCTGATGGAGGCCTGGTGGTTGAGCACATCACTTTGCAGCTCTAAGTCCCAGTGGACCATGTGGAAAATGGGGACAATAACAGAACCCACAGCTCAGTAGGCTATTGTGAGCATTGAAGTGTCTGGAACACAGAAAGATAAAAATAAATGCTAGCAATGATTATTTTTATCCTAAAACCCAAAGATGGGAGATTCCGTTTCCCTGTAAGTCAGTCCCCACAAACCATTCTCACATCACAGTGAAACAGCTCTGCAGAAGGGCGTTCATGTGGAGGAAGCTGGGTCCTAATCCTAGCTCAGGCTCTGACTGGGCATTTGACCTTGGGCAAGTCATTCACCTGTTTAGGCAAACTGAGGGGGTTGAAGCACATCAGTGTTTTTAACTGGCTCACCAGACCTCCAGGACAGGATTCTGCTTTTCTCTCTTCTGTATATTGGGATTCCAATACGAGATTTTACTTCAAAGAAAAGTTTTCATTGCTTATAAATAATTTTACAAGCCACTGCATAAGGCGATCTATAACTTTTTAATTGCTAAAATATATGTGTTTAAATTCAATACTCTCATGGTTGAATTTTAGAGATATACCAAAAAATTGGAATTGGGAAGGAAAACTGGAAGTCAGATTTCAACGAATTGCCCTACTTTTTTTCTCTTGAAGTTGTTATAAGAAATGATCAGTTGAAGAATATTTTCCACCCTTCTTCCCTCTCTTTCTTCTTTCTAATGACAATTTAGAGAATGTAATATATGCCAGAAATTGCACAGGGCACCAGGGATCCAGGAGTGAGCAAACTGAGAAAGTCTCTACTCTTAAAAACTCATAGCCGGGTGGTAGGGGGACAATTGGGTGGGGACACAGGGTATAAAAAGCAATTTCTGGTAATTCGTATCCCATGAATATTCATAATAATCAATCAATAAAAAACAAAACAAAACAAAAAAAGCCTCATAGCCTACTTAGGAAAAGACAATGAACAAGTAAACAAATCGAGATTTACAAACTGTGAAGAAAACATTAGGAGATGAAGTGAGAGAACACAGTGGGTGGGAGACTGACCTATGTAGATAAGACTGTCTGGGAAGGCCTTTACCGAAATAGGCTACATACCTATCCCAGGCCCTGCAGTTCCACGGTCCAGTGAATTTGTCCTTCATTCAGCTCTTCCCTTCCTTGGCCCTGCCCTGGATCTGGCCAGCTGTGGCTACCTGTCATCTCTAACAAGCATTGGTGGGAGAGAGAGGCAGGTCTGGGCTGCAACAGGCGACCAGAAGGCTCCGTTTCTTTTTTTTCCTTAACTTAGCATCATAGCCCTTGAAATGTTTTAATTTGTTTTTCCTGTAGGTCAGGACATCTCAATATGGAAATAATTTTTCAATTCCTTATTATTTTTTGAGTAGGTAATCTATTTACCTGATTAAAAACCCCAAAAGTATAAAAATATAGTGGTTGGGCTCTGGGGCCAGGCTGCTTGGGTTCAAATTCTAGCTGTGCCACTTAGTAGTTATGTGACTTTGGGCAAGTTATTGAAGAGCTCTGTGCCTCAGTTTCCTCAGCTGGAAAACACACATAAATAGTAACTTTCCTTAGCTGGAAAAACACACAAATAGTAACTTTCTCACGGTGGTGCTGTGAAGGCTAAATGTACTGACTCAGCACAGTGTTTGGCACACAGTAAGTGCTAAATCAATGGTATTGTGCAACAGAAACCCCGGAAGAGTCCCAGACTGCCTGCAACCATGCCTCCCTTGCCCTTCGATGATATAAACTGAAAACTTAAGCCCATTATATTTCTTTGAGAAACAGATGGAAACACTCTCAATATATTGGTAAGTATTGACCATACTATACTGTCTAAAACTATGCCATTAAACTGTAAAGATTAACCAAATAGGAAACACCAAACAGGAAATAATTTGATGGTATTAATTAACCACAAAACACCCAAGCATATGAGAAAAGGGAAAGGGGACAGCTGATAAAAATCTAGGGTGGTAGGCAGAAGGGGTGCCTGATCTGGTCAACATTGGCCAGCACACTTTAACAATTCTCTGAATTTAATCTGTTAATTTGCCCTCAGTGGAAATTCTGTCTACCTTCAACATAACTGAGCTCCTGCTGTGAGAACCAGGCTTGGCAATGGTCACGCTAAGAAAGACATCCTTTCAGCCACTTATCATTAATGTACATCTTGGGTGCCTTTGCTCAAGGACCACACTCTGGGTTCCCGTTGCATATTTAGGACACTTAATATAACATATTACTTGTTCCCTCACAGCAAGGTCTCCTCCTGACAGCCAAGATTCCATTTTTCTGTCATAAGTAATTATAAATGTACACCTCTAAAAATATTCCCAATTTGAGGGGCAAAATCTATTCCAGACAGTAAATCACAGAGACATCTCTATCCCTTGGGCAGCCAAAACATACAACTCAAATGTATGAGCTCTCACTCTGAATTCTCCATACCTGAAGAAAAATGGGATCAACTTTCTCCCTGGGGCAGGTAGGAAAAAAACCAAAACCCAAAAAACTGGCACTTTTGTTGGAGCAATTTATATTGTTTTCACTTCCATTTTTTTAAAGCTTCATATGTAGCCCTTCCATCTTCAAAATTCAACCCAGAAAACTGTCTCACTGAGCCCCACTCTGAGGTTATTTGTCACTCTAATTATGCACTTGTGATCCCCCAACCCCTGCCATCTCCTCCCCTCTCTTTTCACCGAAGATTCTTTTCTGTTCCTCCTCCAGCACTCCTGGCAGTCAAGTTCCCAGCTCACAACCAGAAACTAATGGCTCATCTTGATGGCTTGGGCCAACAAGGGAACCCCGGGCAAATTTTCATTCCTGCTTACTCTGATTTTTACATTACTGATAACTATCATGACAGCCTTTGCTTTAATGAAAAGTCTGTGTCTCTGTATTAATGAAAACATGCATGTGTCAGTGATGTTGGAGTACTGAGTCTGCTTCACAATAATAACAGCAGCTAGTATTCGGTAGGCACTATTCTAAGTGCTTCATGTATAGTACCTCAGCAAATCTTCACAAGAAACTATCAGGTGGGTACTATCTATTATTAGGATTGTTTTACAGATGCAGTAGCCACAATTCATAAAGGTCACACAGTGAGAATTGGTAGAGCTGGGATTCAGATGACGTCAATTTGACACCAAAGCCATGCTCTTAGGCCTTAAACTATATTTTGCCCCGGTGTTAACATTTAGAAAAACAAGGATAATTTCTCTCTCTTGTTCTTTTGAGTTGTGAAGAACCCATCATCCTAAAAAATGAGGCAGAGGTTATGTTATTTTGCATACGTAAGCCTAAATGATCTGTATTTAATGAAAATGGTGGCATCTCAAAGTGACTGATTTTCTCTATTTATGATAAATTATTTTTATTTTTTATGCATAGCATTTTTCATATTCCTACCTTGAGCACTCAGACTTCCAGAAGAATCCGGATGCTGCTCATCTGGCTGTTGACTGGGAGGAACAATTGGTGGACTCAGCATATTTAACCAGTCCCTGAAAACAAAAGAAAGTGAATGAACATTTCTGTAATTTCATATATGTATTTTATGTTTTCCCTGGATTTTCAATTCCATGAGGCTTCCACAAAGAAACATTTTTCTTCCTTCATATTTCAGAAAGACAAAATGTCCAGATACTAATAGTCAGTTTTGTAAATTGGTTAATATGGAGTCAATCACTTAACTAGTCAGTTGTTTGATAAATACATGAACTAAATGATGACTATCCCTCTCAAAAATTTATTGTTGTTGCCATTAAACTGTAGCATGGTTTATCTCATACAAGAAAATTATTTCAGTAACTCAGAAGAAATGCAGCAGAGATGAAACGATCTTCAGGTAAGAAAGTCTGACAAGGTCACATGTCGTTATGTCACAGATAACAACATTCCATATGGCGACTCAAGATGGAAGTTAGTGTTGAGGCTGTCACGGAACTGCCGTGATGGTGGCAGTGAGTATGTATTAAGTCAGGGCTTTAGAGCAGCAGAAGGCAGAAGGGAGAGCAAAGGCCGCCAGGCCCTTGAGTGATGTGTTCATGAAGTTCTGCTATTATGAATGGGGGCAAAACAATGCCAAAAAATACCGCCCATTCCCTGTCCCTCTGCCTCAAACTTCCCACCTCATTTCCCAATCTCTTTACTTTCCACCCTCCTCCACAATTTTCCTGTCTCCTGCTCCCTCTAGCAGATAACTGGGTGGGTGAAACTCAAGTCGGCGATATCCAGAAGGCATGAGTCACTGTGTGTTCTACTGCCAGCCCTTCTCACCCCCAAACTTGCTACTGAGTTTCTCCAGTGAATGGGAGCAGGCCGGGGAACGGAGAGGGTTTTCCAATGTGCACTCTATTTCTTGCATTGATATTAGCACCCTGTATTGTTTACCTTACACTTCTAAGCAGGAGCATGTCCTCATAACCAAACAATTTCTTTCTAAATTCCTGTATTTCCTACTGACTTTATCTACAATGGGATACAGTCCCAGATATTAGTATTCAGTTTTATAAATTGGCTAATATGGAGTCAATCATTTAACTAACCAGTTGTTTGATAAATACATCAAGTAAGTGATGACTATTCCTCTCAAAAGTTTATTGTTGTCTGCCCTTAAACAGCCTGCAAACTAAGAATGGTTTTACACTTTTTAATGGTTAAAAAATTTAAAATAATGTCTCATGACACATAAAGTACAATGTGAGACAGTCCCAACAAACAGCTAAGAGCACTGGCTCTCCAGGCTAATATCGACTCAATGTTTTCTTGGCCAAGTCACTTAATATCATTCAGCCTCATCTGTAAAAAAGAGATAAAAGTACTTCAGAATTTGTTGTTAGGAATGAATGGAAAAAATGGATCAAAAACATTTGTCATGGCTGGGAATAGAGTCAGCACTCAATAAATTTTAGCTATGACTACCACCATCTTCATTATCAATGAAGATCATGATGTGGCCTTGACTACAATGATAAAACAAGGTGAGAATTTGGGTTTGTTGTAATTAAACCAGTAAAGGATGGCAGAATGATTTCCAGTCTGCACAGTAGAGGTTTTCCTTGCAAGCCACTCACTCTTCCAGTATAAAAAAAATCTTAATGTAAAAATTACCCAATTCCTATTTGTAATATTTTACGATACTTTCAGTCACTGCTCACCACAGCTATCACTAGATTATGGCTGGTGAAATAAGCAAGGTGAGCATGCTGTGTAATTGAATTTCATAACAACACATTAAGGACATCAGAAAGGATTTGTCACAGACTTCCAAGCTAATGGGGCATTTTCTTATAAGCACTTTTTATTTAGTCCATTTAATTATAGCAGACCAAAAAATTCCTACATTACAGAAAATTACAAGGTCATATACAAATTTCCAGCCCAGTGACCTCATTACACTAAGAGTGATGGAGAGCAAGGATGAACAGGAGAAAATAATGTTATCATATGATGACGCCCCAGCTATAAATCAGAAACTCTACATCATGGCAGCAGGAGTTCCTATTCATGGTCCACAGGATGGGGGCAAATGTAGGTGGGGGTTGTTGTGTGAATTTTATGAAAAGCAAAACATTCACTTCTGAGACCAGTGATTGGATTAATGTCTTTCCTTCTCAGCAGTAGCTATGGAAAGTATAGTGATCTTCTTTTTATGGTTTTAAAAGCAATAAATCAGATTTATAGAAAAGTCATAAGAGTAGTACAAATAACTTCTGAATATCCATCCTTCACTCAGATTCTCCAATTTTAATACTTTATCATGCTTGCTATTATCTATCTATCTAAACGGGTTGGCAAACTAGGGCCCATGGGCCAAGTCTGACCTCCTGCCTGTTTTTATATAGCCACACTCTAAGAATGGTTTTTACATTTTTAAACGGTTAAAAAAAATTAAAATGTTTCATGACACATGAAAATTACATGAAACTCAAATTTCAGTGTCCATGCATAAAGTGTTACTGGAATACAGCCATGCTTATTTATGTCTATAGCTGCTCTTGTGTTACACTGACAGAGTTATGTACAGTCATGTGCTGCTTAATGACATTTTGGTCACCAACAGACTGCATATATGATGGTGGTCCCAAGAGATTATAATGAAGCTGGAGGTGTGTAGTCGGCTATACCAACTTGTTTTGTGTGAGTACACTCTGTGATCTTCACACACAACAAAATTGCCTAATGACATATTTCTCAGAATGTATCCCCATCACATGACTATATCTATTATCTGGTCCTTTACAGAAAACTTTTGATGACCCCTGATTTATAACTGGGTACTCATTAATTCATCCAGTAATAATTCAATACTGCAGATTCATTCTCATCCTTTCTCTTTCCATATTTACAACTCCCTTCTGATGTTGAGGAAACTGGCTCCCATTACGCTCAATTCATTTACTTATTTTCTGATTATAGAGCACACCAAAAGTAGTTTCAGAATTGCTAAGCAAAACAAAATTTCCACAAAAACAAAATAAAACAAACAAAACCCAATAAAACCAAACCAACCCCCCCCAAAAGACCTACCCCAAACCTACTCTCTAGAGTTCTCTATTTGTGTGTAGTTCCTTTCTTTAGTCAAAATACCATGTTCAAAATTTACTTGGGTTAGCTCTTTCCCTCCACCTCAGTGTGCTTATATCATCCATTTGAAATACAACTAGAGCCATCTGCTTCTGTTTGTATTATAATTCAGGTTTTTTTTCTTCATTCTTCTTGATTTTTATTACTTTTGTTGTTGTTGAGTACATAAAACAGTAGCAATTTAAAAGTCAAAACTACACAGAAAGGCATGTTCAGGTAGGAGTCCCATCCTCCCATCCCTTCCAGTCTGTTCCCATCCCCTATTTCTTTCATTCCATCTCCACCCACCCCTCTGTAGGGAGTAAATTTCATTAGTTCTGGTATTGCCTTTCTGTGCTTCATTTTGTAAAAAATAAACAGATACATGTCTATTTTTCCTTCCCCTCTTTCTTATGCAAAATTTAGTGTACTCTAGTTACTCTTTGATACTTTAAAATTTTATAATATGCCCTAAAAATCACTCCATACCAGTTCCTAGAGAGCTTCATCATTCTTTTTTTTTACATATGCATAATACTCCACCATGTGGATGTACTATCATTTATTTCACCACTCTCCTATATTTGGCATGTTTTGAATAGTTTGCAATTACTGCAATTAACACTTCAATGAATAACTTTGGGCATATCTATTTTTGTATCCTTGGAGGTGTATCTTCAAGGTAAATTCCTAGAAGTGGGACGCTTGGGACAAAAGGAAAATGCATACTTGACTTTGTTACATGTTGACAAATTCCCTTCCCAAGGGTTGCACCCATTTGTAATCTCACCAGCAATGTATGAGAATGATGATTTCCCTAGAGCACTGTTGCAAGAATATGTTGTTAAGTATTCTAATGCTTTCCAATCTGAGAGGTGAGAACTGTTACTTTAAAGTAAGTTTGATTTGCATTCCTTCTAATTATGAGTGGAGTTGACTGTGTTCATATGCTTAAGGCCATTTATGTAGCATATAGGTGTACATGCATGTGTATGAATGATATATATACATATATATATATGTTTGTTCATACCTTCTGCCCTTGCTTCTATCAGATTTTTTGTCTCTTTCCTTCACTTTGTCATTTGTCTTTCCTTATGGTGTTGTTTTGCCACACAGAATTTTTTTTATTTTTATGTAGTCAAATGCATCCATCATTTTTTTTTTATTACCTCTGTATTTTGAGTCATAGCTAGAAAGCCTTTGCCTGCAACCTGGTTCTATGTAAATTCATCCACGTTTTTTCCAGTTAGTTGCATGGCTTCATTTTTTACATTCTGATCCATTTGTAGTTTATTCCAGTATATGGTGTGAGTTTATTCTGGTGTACAATGCATCTAATTTTGTCTTTTAAAAATGACTTAGAGTTCTCTTGACAAGTGATGCTATTTTAACATAAATTTAGAAGATTTTATACAATTATGACATTTTTAATCAGAGCAATTAATTTGTTTGGCTTTTTGTTAAGTAAGCATTTACAAAATATAATTTTTTGAAAAAAGTTTCCACGTTAACTAAAATATGGAAAACTTTGAGCTGAACAAAATCAACCAGGACTTTTTCTTGCAGAACTTTTCAGAGCCTTTAAAACACCATGAATCTCCCAAGAGGAGAACAGTGTACAAAGCATTGCCCAAATTTATGTATTTGGAGCTGTTACATCTCTTGGGACCATAGAACACAACTTGAGAAATGCTGCTCTCCAGGTTATGCCATTTTTAGACCCTGGTGACATTTTGTTTTGTTTTCTATTTTACTGTGTACATACTTAATAATTTCATTTTTTTCAACAGTACCCTTTTTTTCTTGGTGACTTGTTAATAAGCAGAAATGTGTAGTCTAGCACCTGTACCTTACATGTTTATAGTTTTATATGGGATATTTAATGATAGCCCATTGTCTTAACTCTTGCTCAACTCCGTTAAACCTCTATGCC